CGTTTTACTAGTCCGCGTTTTACTAGTCCTCGTTTTACTAGTCCTCGTTTTACTAGTCCTCGTTTTACTAGTCCTCGTTTTACTAGTCCTCGTTTTACTAGTCCTCGTTTTACTGGTCCTCGTTTTACTAGTCCTCGTTTTACTAGTCCTCGTTTTACTAGTCCTCGTTTTACTAGTCCTCGTTTTCCTAGTCCTCGTTTTACTAGTCCTCGTTTTACTAGTCCTCGTTTTACCAGTCCGCGCTTTACTAGTCAGCGTTTTACTAGTCCGCGTTTTACTAGTCCGCGTTTTACTAGTCCACGTTTTACTAGTCCACGTTTTACTAGTCCGCGCTATACTAGTCCTCGTTTTACTTGTCCAGTCCAGTCCAGTCCAGTCCTCAAAATACCATATGCCATTTCAGTGCCCTTATACGGTAAATGACGTTGATGTGAAGCATTCTACCTCAACCGCATCGAAATAGCATGCACGATCTCTTCGCTGTCTTCCGCTTTTCATTTGCCTTCCAGAGAACACCCTGTGCAGTTAAACATATCCTCAGGTCTATCAAAATGCCGTTTGCCTATCGTCTGGAAAAATTCAACTTTCACAGTTTTGATACTGAAAGAGAGTCAATCGGAAAGCTTCTTCCTCCTCAGGCTGATGCTCTTAAAAGTCTCGAAGAATTCTTCCATCAAAACCCTGTGGGGCTAACTGCTATGATTTCCATGCCGACAGGATCTGGTAAAAGCGATGTGATAAGTTGTCTACCGTACTTTTTAGGCAAAACTGGGTTAACTCCACCCCCCGAGGATGGTGCTCCTCCGTACGGAAGTCCACTTCATCCATTTGATAAGCCCGTGCTGGTTATTGCGCCAGATCTGGAGATTGCAAAGCAACTAGAGGGATCTTTGCTGCGGGTGCGGGAAGGAGAACATGAGGATAACTTTCTGCTGCGAAGAGGGATAGTGCCCAAAGAGCATGCTCGAGGAGTCCTTCCAGTAGGAAAGAAGATCCAGGAAACATTCGAGGTCACGCAACCCAACATATTAAAAGGAAACGAGATTCTAATCGCTAACGCCCAGAAGTTTCTAGGGAAAGACTGGGAAGAATGTTTACCTGACAACCTATTTCGACTTATCATCGTCGATGAAGCGCATCATCACCCCGCTAAAACATGGCGTCGAATCGTGAACCACTTCAAGGACCGTGCAATGGTAGTCTTTTTCACTGCAACTCCTTTCAGAGGTGATGGGGACCTTGTCCTAAAGGAGGGAGAAGGGAAGATCATATATCACCTGTCACTTGAAGAGGCACGGGCTCAGAGAATCATACGTCGTACTGACTTCGATGAGGTCAACGGTGACGATAAGACCCACCCTGAGGATGAGATCTGCAATGACCTCGACAAAATCTACAGAGGAATCCTTCGGACAGTACATGCAATTCAGGAAGAAAGAGACGAAAACCATCCTCTACCTGATCGTACCCCACACATGGCCATCGCTATTACGAAGGATACTGCAGAAGCAGTCCGCGTGGTAAATGCAGCCCATAAAATTTGGAAATGTCCTCGTGAACAAATAACCGTGTACTATTCAAAAATGTCAGAGCATACAAGACGAGCGATTATGACAGCAATTCGAGCAAACCGAATAAAGCTTGTGGTTGTGGTGTCTATGCTTCTTGAGGGTTTTGATCACCCACCAATAAGCATAGCCGCCATAATGACGAGGATTGTCTCCACTGTGAAGTTTGTGCAGTTCATTGGAAGGGCACAAAGAATTGTTCGTGGTAAAGATCGTGAGCCGGAGTCTGAAAATATAACAGCACACATCGTTACCCACAGAAAATTTGAACAAGCGAGAAACAACGAACTCTTTGAAAGCGAGAGGCTGATACCAGAACATGAATGACCAGGGTTCTTTAGACATATTTACATCCCAGAAACAGAAGAAACATTGTTTCTGCCTTACAAATGAATTCTATTCTTCTAATTGTTGTTAAAGAATTTTAGTAGATTGAAGGACTATTTTTTCAGTTCCTGTTTGAGTCATTCAAACTCATAACTTAGCAATTAGTGGTAACAATTAGTTTTTTTAAGTTTAACCATGGAAGGTGGATGACTTTGTGTAACCTTTGAAAGTATAACTTACATAAAGTTGACAACTGATGAAACCTTTAATTGTGGTTCTAGAAAGTGTAACCAACTGAATTGAAAGTTTTTTCTTTCAAAATAGTCCAACAAAATACATTTCTAAGCATTTTTATTACTGCTTACTTTCATTTTGGATCTAATTCCTATCCATCCCCAGTCTGATTTTAAGCCAGTTGTATGCAACTGCCAGCCAATTTACCATTTCAACTTTGTTGATATATCTAAATTATGCCAGCCAAAATATTTCCCAAATTAAAAGAAAAAATAGTGGCATTAATGGCTTGACCACCTCACTCCCCCACTCCCTCAAAAAAAAAAAAAAAGGAAAAGGAATATCATAATAAGTGAATTAATAGATTTTGAACCAATTAATTCCAGAGGGGAATACCGGTTGCCAGTTGTTTTGTTCCCACAGCTCAGCAATAATGTAGTGTTTTTATTTGGAAAATCCTAACTAACCCCTAACTCCAAAGATCTGATTGTCAATTCTTCCCTCCACCTGCTATACATTTCCTTGTAAATTAGTTACAAATATTTAGTGCTAGATCAAGGTTACAACTTCTGCCTGTTAAGTTTGAGTCTTTGCAGGATAATTAAAAACTATTCACCAATGTGGAGGTGCTTAGTGGTGGATATTTACTGAGCTGCAAAGCAGCAAGGTAAATATCAACCACTAACCACCAACACTGAGGTGAATGGTTGTTTTAGTATATACTACCAA